ACATACATTACAACATAATGGTGTATCTGAAATAAAGAATCATACACTATTAGATACAGTGCAATTAAAAACAAGCAATGCAAACATTCCAAAATTATTTTGAGGTCATGCATTGATTGTCACGTGCTATGCACTGAATCATGTCTCATCTAGATTGGTTGACAAAATTCCATACGAATTATGAAAATGCCCAACTTATCTCATATGAAAGTTAGAGCTGTGACGCTTATGTGAAACGCACTGAATTGGATAAGTTTGAGACTAAATCCGATCAATATATATTTGTGGGATATCAAAGAGAATTAATCCCATTGAGAAGAAGATGTTCGTCTCAAAATATATCATACTCATAGAGAAAGTGTTTATTCTAGGAGAGGATAGTGGGAGCAGAATAAATCTTAAAGGATTTCAAGAATCCACGGATATAGTTGACCAAATAGATGTACCTGAATCTGTCCCACACCTATTGATATACATACTCTTATTCAGGAAGTAGAGACTTCTGAGGACACGTCAGCTCTGTGTAAATCTTGTAGGATCATTCAATTTTCTAAAATGTACGAATCTATGATTACTAATCAAACATTGCTAATCGAGGATAATAAACCTATTAATTACGGAGAAATAAAGTCAAGTGTTGATTTAAAGAGATGGCAAGAGGTCATGGAAATCTGAGATGGACTTGATGTACGTAACGAAGGTTTGGATCTTGGTCGACCTGCCTAATTGATTAGAACCCATAGGTTATAAATGAGTTTACAAGAAAATGTCAATATAGATTAAAACAAGCTTCTTGGAGTTAAAATCTTCGATTTGATGCAAAAGTCAAAATGTTTGATTTTATAAAAAATGAAGATGAATCGTGTGTTTACAAGAAGATAGTTGGAACATTATCACATTCCTGATATTATATGTATGAGACATATTATAGGAAACGACGTCTCTATATTTCAATTGTTAAAATTATGATTGTCAAATAATTTTCCCGTGATAGATATGGGAGAAACAAGTTGATCTATATAGATAGATCTGAAAGATTACTTAACTCATCACAATCTATATATAGATAAAATCACAAGAAGTTTTTACATGGAAAAACTGAACTGAGAGTTCATGGATACACTGATGCTAACTTATAGTCTGACTAGAATGATATCATAGCTTAATTAGGATATTGATTTACTCTTAAGTGGTGTGTTGGAAAAGTTTCAAATCGAAAATAACCGTTGATTCAGTAATAGAAGTCTTATACATCATTACTTTAAAAAGTAACAAAAGTTGTAGTCTGGATTATGAAGTTTATTAATGAACTTGAAGTAGTTCCTAACATTATTAATCATACGTTTCTGCATTGTGATAATAATGAAGCCATCGTATAAGTGAAGGAATCAAGATCTCATCAATGATCTAAGTATGTGTTAAGACGGTATTATCTCATTGGAAATATATACAATGAAATGACGTAAAAAAAGAACGAATTCTCACAAATTATTAAATTACAGATCCACTGACAAAGAGTTGTTGTAGCATAAACATGATCGTCATGTAAACTCTTATGGTATAAGGTACATGAGTGATTGGATCTAGTGCAAGTGAGAGTTTGTAAGTGTTATGCCCTAAGTCCAATCAATTTTGGAATATAAACACTTTTAATATATATTATCAATGTGTATTTATAGAAATATCTATTATTTAATTAAATTAATATTATAATAAATTAAATAATAGAATTCGTAGATTCAAGTTTTAGTCATTTGTTAATCACAAGGAGTTGTGATAGTGAGATACAAATTACATATGACTGAATCTTAAATCTTCGGTAGTCGTATGTAATAACGAGATACGGATATCGTTATTACGGATAGACCATAACGTGTGGCATTTCTTACTTGTGAAGTAAGTAGCTGATCTCACAAGTTAACGTGTGGTGACATGTGAATGAACACGTTGATATTTTGTTATAGAACAAAACATTGGAGACCCGCTGGGAGATTCCACATGGATAACTATCCGAGTGTCAGTGGTCAATCTCTAACGTTCGGTAGTGGAATTGGTTCTTTGACTTGAGGTCATCATAGTGCCTTATATAAGTACAATCATATTTTGGTGATGTTGGATGTTGCTCTACCAATGGTCGCTAATACGGCATCGTTCGGGTATGTTAAGAATCATATGAAAGTTGTGAATGATCAATAGATGATTCATCGCTCTTANTCGTTAGATATCGTGATCGGGAACCTAATATGTCACACACAAAAGAGAACTAGAAGAATGAAAGCCAATTAATTAATTGACAAATGTTGGATAATTAATTAGTTGGATTGCTTATTAATATGCCCGAATTAATTAATTCATTGACCAGATTTAATTAATTTGATTAATTAAATATTGGACCGAATTAAGTTTAAGTGACGGGCCAAGCTTACTTATGCTTATATTAATAGGCTGCTAGAGTTTGAAAATTGTAAGGAATAATTCATTATTCGCTAGTACAAAAAAAGAAAATCCCAATCATCATTTTTGTTCTCTGTGTGGATTATCGTTGGAGGCTGAACAATTGTATTATTCGCTAGTACAAAAAAAGAAAATCCCAATCATCATTTTTGTTCTCTGTGTTAATTATCGTTGGAGGCTGAACAATTGGACAGTTTGGATTGCAGATCGTGATTATTCGAGTTCAAGAAAAGCGAAGGAGTTTGTTGAATTCATCAAATGTATAATTCTTATCACAGTTTTTATCTAAACACAATACTGATCTTTGGTAGGAATTGAAAATTATTTTATTTTTCGCTGTGCATGTTAAGTAAATTCCCAACAGTTTGATAAATGTTGCCAAAGAGATTGAAAGCCACTCGGTTGCTGAGGGAAATTAGCATATTTGGCGCCTTTAGGTGCATTTCATTGGCTTTATTTTTTTATGAAAAAATGTTCTTTTTCCATTCAAGTTCTTACATTTTGTGTTTGATTGACTTTTTTTCGATGAGAAATATGTTTTAGCATTCGGTCATTTAATCATATCTTTTCTCAAAAATAAGAAAAAACATTTTTTAGGGAGTGATATGATTTTATTTTCCAGGCAATTTACTCTATTTCTTTCTCTCATCTACCTATAACAAATATAATATTTTTTAGATTGAAAATTAAATCAATCGTACACATTTAATTAATAATTTACACACAAATAAGTCTTAGAAATTCAATTGCCTAGGAGAAAATTGTACAATTATTAAAGTAGCACATTGCTTCACATATTTTAGCCCCTGAAAATCATTATTTGAAAACTATTTTCTTTACTCACTCATTTTCAATTGCAATTCACTCAATAAACACGTAAATCCAAAAAAAATTTCTACTTTTTAACCATACATTATCCTAAAAATTACTATTCAAAATATTATTTTCCTCAAATAATGACTGTCAAACAAGGGCTTCAAATAATATGTCTTCAATGTTTTCTCATTGATGCATAATGAGTTCTCAATCGGCTAATTTCTTGTAATTCATGCGACCTCTAATTTTCAAAAATATTGAGTGCAATTTTGTTCCTTGAATTGGGCTCGTGTTCTGAAATTTAAAATGAGACATGTTTTTATAAGATCTCACGGATTATATATATATATAT